GTACTTTTAAATATTTTCGGATTCCTGTTCGAGTATTTACAATTATCACGTGATTATTAAGCGATAGCATGTAGTACCATAAAATCAAATTATCAAAGTAATCATACCCCAAGATTTTGTAACTATCTTATATAGATATCAAAAGTGTCCAAAATATTATAAAAATCTATGAACAAGTAAAAATAAACATAAATAGAACCAGTTAATTGTGTTTGAATTATACTGATATAATATAAATTAGTATAATGCATACCAGGTTAAAGCACGACGCGTAACACGGTATCACGATTCTAATTGTTCAATGTTGACGAACGATGGAATTTAATAGATAATACTGTATAGCATGGAATTTACTTATTTTCGCGGGTAATACAAACCCAAAAAGAAAATTGTGTATGAAAATAAACAATATGAAGATAGGTTAGGGTATTAATTTAAAAAGTTAATAAAATGCTTTGTGAAATTTTGTTGCCGTTATTTTTAACTATTGTGCAAAAGTCCGTTTAAACACTAGCTTTTGAGTATTTTCGCGTTCTTTGCTTTTTTTCTTCCTAAGCACGTGTTCAGATTCCATGTCAGGCTGAGCTGGAAAGAAAGTAAAAATTTTAGCAATTAGGTATAAAGTCATATTTATATATGAAATTATGACCATGTGACACATGCTCACAGTGTTGTACCCCGAACCAATCTGAAATTGAAATCCCACCGCACTAGAACAGATATTGTACTACGTATAGTGACTAATAGTGTTATTATAAAGAAAGAATAAAATATTTGAAATTGGATAAATAAAACAACTTACTTATGTATTCCATTCTAAAAACTTTCACTAGCCAATCAAATTTTAAGTTCAGGCAGGCTAGGTGCTGACAATTTTCAAAAAAAATTTTTTTTTAAGCTTAACTAATCTAAAACTAATCTAGAAACATTTTGCACTTAAGGGACAAATATTATAATCTTAATAAAATTTTGAAGTATAATTCTTTAAAATTTTTATTTTGAGTGTTGGATTTGTTCACTTTGTCGATTGTACAACTTTCCCCGGCATCTCAATATTAGTTCACTGTGAAATTTCTATACTTGAAAAATTCCACTCATAAATGTTATATTGCATGTCCATATAAAAAGAACTCTTAAAAACTATTTCTACTTTGTTAACGCATACGTAGTATTATTAAATCAAGATTACATACAGAAACCAGAAAAAATTAAATGTTTGTAGAGTGTACGTACTAGTATTAAGCATTATATTATGTATTTTAACTTCTTAATATCATCAATAAAAAATTTTACATCAACCCAAAACATGAATTACTCTCTGGCATATTATACCATGGTAATGTCCTACATAAATTTTATAAGTCAATCTATCTCCAAAACATTCTTTAAACCATCTTATAAAAAAATTTGTTCATAAAATATTGAACATTGGTATTATCATGAGAGCTTGATGAACACGAACTACGGCATGCATGTACGAAGTGCACTTTGAGAATGTCATTGAGAACTGAAATTGGATAAATACGATATTATTTTGTATCTAAATCTGGTTGTTGTTCAAAGATTGGACATCTTAAAAGGGAATCGGTACACTTAGTTTTTTTTAACCAATCAATCCAAACAAAAGCATACACATTTCCATCATTATACTTGTGAGTGAAAATTGCTCTAACAATAGCATAGGATTCATCAGTTTCTTCCTTTATAATTACGATGTCGCCAATATGAAGCTTGATATGCGCATAGAATCCTCCATCATCGTCTAAAAGCGTATATCGAATATATCGATAAAATTTGATAGAGCGTGTTATAATATATCTACGCTGTTTCATATATTCAGAATATGCCGCAAAAAGACCATTTTTTAAGTAAGTATTTTCATCAAGATTGCTTGTTAATTGCGATGCTCGAATTTCCACATTAGTTAGTTGTTGCCGAACCCAAATATTGACAATTCTGGAGTCTTCTGAAACTATACCCGTTTCTGTAAAATGTTATTATAATAATAATTAGTTTAAAAAAACAAATAAATAAAAAATAAAAAAAAGATTAAATTAATTATTAAAGAAAAAATGAATAAATAAAATAAATAAATACAATCAATGATAAGCTACCTTCGTTAGATATGTTTTCAGGATATAAATCATCAGTTATATACCACCCTGCAAGAAGTGGTTGAAGACGTTGATCTGTAATAATACATCTCAACCCGTCTCCAACATTACTCTCATTAAATCTATCATCAGCTCCGCCATCCATTAAATATCGAATAGCTTGTAAGACGTTTGTACAGCGTATTAAATCCAATTCGACATTTTTTCTATTAGTTTTAAGAACAGCTTGTTTGGAAAGTCTATGTACCATTTCTTTAATCGCACAATTTGTATTAACTAATGTTGCATAGTTTTTGCAATTTTGTAATAAATAAAAATTGATATGAAGGTTTGGCAGATTTTTAAAATCGTCGAGAATAACTATTATAAAAAGAAATTAAAATTCGTCTCAATATTTATTGATATCATTATAAAAATGCGACGCCATTCTAATATTTTACTATGGTGGTAAAAAAAAAAAAAAAAAAAAAAAAAAAAATATTAAATAATTTAAAATTATATATTAATTTTTTGTATATTATATTTTTTTTCTTAATAGAGTTTTTTAAA